CAGAGTTTTGAGTCCTGGGTTGCTGTAATTTTTATGAAAAGAAAAGTATTAATATTTAACAATTAATTATTTAAATGCTTATTTTGTTGAAAAAAATATATACATTGATAGTGTACATTTTCTGTGCTTAACATCCATGTGATCCTAAGCCTGGACAAAAGATCCCTTTCTATGAGTTTGGCTGGTACATCCCAAAGGTGTCCCCTGTCTTGTCAGTGGCATGCCTACTCACCAACAACCTACCCCATTTACTAAAATAACAAATTCAGTTGGTCAGATAAAAATTAAAGAGAAGCAGAAAATTTGGGAAAATGTGTAACTTATAACATACCAAAATCCGAACCATTTTATAAATTTTTCCTTGTTGGCCATATTGCTGACAAGGATGTATATAATCATGCAATAATTTTAACCTACAGGACAGAGGACTGATTGGGCAAAAACCCAATCCAGTCCCCTATTCAAAATCATTAAATTGGTTAAACAGAGAATTTACGAAAATGATTATACAAAACAAACACTATTTTACAACTTCCCTCTTAGCATCAGAGTCCAAATGAAATTTCAATGGCCACCAACCCTGCTCTGGATTGCGACCTCCTGTGCTTGAAACAAGCTGCAGATTCTTTTAATATTCATCTGCAGAGTTGCGACTTGGTCACAGTGCCATCCTTGCCTAGAGGCGGAATCGTTGCAGGCAACATTTCGGCCAGCGTGCCAGCAGCCATCTCTGGTCTGGGAAGATTAGTGAAAGTGTCATTGACGATTGGTGCAGTCTTGGTAAACTCCAGGACATGTCCACACCCCCCTGGAGTTCGGTAGCATCATTGTATCATCGGGTGACACTAGTCAGATTAGCCTTATGTACACGAGGAACAGGTGAATGACTGTAATGTGTTCAAGGCAGCGTGCGTGCGTGCTTCAACACCTGTAAATTTCCTGTAATCAAACATTGCATATTCGAAATGTCTCTTTTTTCAATGGTGTGCTGCCTTGATTTCTTGTATAGTAATATATATAATATTTATGATAATATTATTAATGGTCACGAAAAACAAAATATTATCAATGAAAATCTTGTAATTACCCAGCAAGATCTGCTCCGCGTTTTGATTTCCAATTAAAATATTTATTATAACCAATAAAGACAACAAATATATATATCAATACAAGTAAAAAATAGTACCTCTGGTTAGTTATTAACATGTCTTCTTTAGGAGACCCAAACCAAGCCAAACAACAACACTCACGTTTTGTCACCTTGGACACTGTCAAAAAATAAATTGTTTTTCCAAGAAAGAAAAAAAAAATCAATTCGCGTCTGTCCTACCAAAAAAAAAACCAATAGGATAAATAATTAATGTGTACACGTCGATCAAATAACAAACTTTTTTTACAAACATGTCTTCCAAAAAAGATTCAAATAAAAGAAGAAAAAACCAAGAAACTAAAGATACATATGGGTAAGTGTTTTTAAGGATGGCGGTGGTCGCCACTCATTGTTACTCTAGTTTTATATTAAAATGATCGACATCTCTCTCGTTTATTCACAGATCACCAATTAACGATTTTTTTAAAAAATTAAAAAAAGAACAAGTCTAATAAAAAAAAGGAAAAACAAAGAAAATAATACTGCTGAAAAAAACGAATAAGTGTTTATTATAAGAATGGTGGTTATCGCCGTTTGTTGTCACTCTAGTTATAATTAATTAAAATTTTTACTTATACTTAACTGACTTTCAATGAAAATTCTTTAGCAACATTGATGAGTTTGACGCGGTTGACCAAACCATTATTGATTTTAGTAGAAAAATTTTAATGACATTGACACTTATTCTATTCTCGCATCAAATTTGGAGTCTTTAATTAAGTCTTCAAAAAGATATAAATGTTCCCAGTGAATATGAATTTTTTTGTTTGTTTTGTATCTATTTCATGGTCAAATTTTGCGAATTCTAATCATTTTATCTATCAGTTTATATAATCGTAGGATATTATATTTAGATGTGTTTGAATTAGAATGGATCCCCAGCACAATAATCAAGATCGAATCACTTGGCTTACCAAGAATCAGCCAATTGCAACCACAATTAATAAAATTGTTGGAAGTGTTGGAAGATCTGGTAACTATTGATTTTGAATCTATAAATATGATTATAGGGAGGTTTTAAAACCTGGTTTGATTTTGGCAACCACATCAGACATAATTTTTATCATCTGGTTGAAAATTTGTGGCAAGATCCTGAAAAAGAAGATGAAAAAACAATAAACTATATATTTGATATGATTCTTCATTAGCGAGTATAGTTCTTTTATTATTGAACAATTGGATTTATATAGCTGTGAGCAATTTTCATGTTTTACATGGATTATTTATTCTACAGTTGCGATCTCTTTGATACTAAATCACGAGAAACTCTTGAAGGAGATGCAGGAGTCAATCACATGGTGCCGTTGACAAAACTTATACGCAATCATTTAAAAATTACTTTGTAAATATTCTTATATTTTTGTTTATTTCATTGCTATATACAAACATTTAACATTTATTGTACATTAGTGGAGAATATAATAGCGCTGCTGTTAAATTTCGACATGACCTTGGATGCCCACTCCAAATGGGTGGAAGAAACTCAAAAATGGACCTTGTAGGTATTTATCAAGGTTATGAATTTTTATCACACGAGAATTCTTTTGATCATAAAGACACCACTAAAAAAACACGAAAAGATTTACTTAAACTTGCTACATATGCACGGGATGGATCATTTTTAATATGGCAGGATGCACATAAAGATGTTCAAACTTCTTTCGATAAAATTTTGCAGTATCTTGTTGAAATAAGAACTTGGGGTATCCATCTACTAGGACAAATGGAAGGACATCAAGGCCTTCATATCAAAGTCTTTGGGATGAGGCAAGCAAAATGTGGATTGTTTTTACTTTCAAAATTAGATTCATTTCCGCTGCCAAATGAAGAATCGCTGATAGATTTCCGATGTATCACAAAGCCAATAGAAACTATGATTCGCCTTGCAGTAAGTTTGAATATTTATTTAGCAATGTTATCTTTTATCATATAATGAATTAACATAATCTCTTTCATTTATTAGAGTGGAATCAAAGAGTCCACAAAGCACCTTCAAGAATTGCATCAGGTTATATCGAAAATTCGCCATGGAGAACCTATGGGAGTTTCTAAAAAGCAGGAATATATTCAACCAAGTCTTCTTAAATCGCCTACACGAAAAACATAAAAAAAAAATCCAATTCTTTTTATACTGGTAGATGATTATTTTTAGAATTATTGCATAAAAAAAAAATCCAATTCTTTTTTTTTTTATACTGGTAGATAATTATTTTAGAATTATTGCATAAAAAAAAAATCCAATTCTTTTTTATACTGGTAGATAATTATTTTAGAATTACTGCATAAAAAAAAAATCCCAATTCTTTTTATATTGGTAGATGATTATTTTTAAGAATTATTGCATAAATAAAGATTTAAAATGATTTGCTATAGTGCAAGACACCTAGTCCCACAACTTTTTATTGGCATTGTAGATCCTTATCTAACTCCAAAAATGGAAATGTAACACCAAAAAAATAACCCGTAATTTTGAAGCTAAGACCTTTCTCTACAAAGTTACG